AAATATGGGGAATCCCAGCCCCACAGGGGCTTCTGAAAACAAGGATTTAGAATGAAACCAGTTATAGACCCCTGATCCCAGAGTTCTGCTTTTCTGTGACAAGGAGACTCAACTGGAAGTAGCACGTCCCTACCCGCTGTTCCTTGTTTGGACTTGTTGTCACCTCTGCAGCAAACCTGTGCAGTTGCTGGCGTACTTCATCTGAATAGTTTCGATTCTTCAAACCTTCAGGACAAAGGGAAACAGGTGGAGGATTCCTGTATGCAGGAGAAAACAGGATTAAAAAGTATCCAAAAAGCCATTCACATTCATGGGAATTTTCTCACATTGCCACAAGTGGCCAAAACATCAAGAAAAACCTAGTTCCAAGCAGCATCCATCTTCAGATGCAAAAATCAGTTTCTGCATCTCTACCCCCTGCATCTGCAAAATACAGCGGATAAAAAAAAAATTGTTTCCCCCACACCACAGTACCTCTTCCTGCAACGAAATTTCTGCAGTGGTGTCAAGAAATCCGTGTGGTGTTTCTCCATAACCCTCCGGTAGTGAATCTCATGCCAAAGTTGCACCAGCTCCTCCTTCTCTTCTGCCTTACAATACTAAAACAAAATAGTATGTAAGCAAACCCTTTCCAGGTAGTCAGTCAGGCATAAATAAGAAAACCCTCAACAACTAGAAACTTACTCCAACATTCCTACTGGTTTGACAAAGCTGGGAGCATTATCCAAGTATATGGGTCACTGTACCTTCTCTCATGTACACAGGGAGTTTCCTGCATAATTCCTTCTTTTCCCCTGGTGAGAAGGGCTACATTGCCAGATCTAGAGACCAAAATCTCTTACCTGGAGCAGTGCCATCCAGCCTTCCTCACATCTTCCCATCCTGACAAGCCCTCTAAGCTTGGTGTCCCCAAAGCTTTTATGCCCTAAGCCCTAAGTTTGTGAGAAACTCCAAGAACCACCACACTAGAGAACAAAATTCCTGCTTTCACCAAGTACAACCAACCCTGTAATCACCCAATTACCTCCTCTTTGGCTGATTAATAGTAACTGCCTGTAGCAAAGGCTTTATCCTGCACTTCAGGTCAACCAACACACACATATCACCTTCCACTTCCACATGTCAGCTGGAAACGCTCCACGTACTGTGGTTTGGGTACCTCTGCACTAACAGCTCTAACTACTGTTTTTCTAACGTTGCTTTTTGCCTCCATGAAGAAACAAAGAACACATCCCTACCTCCAGGAGTCTGCAGGCTGTGTCATGCTGCCCGTTACGGATATGAACAAACACACAAGCTCGGACAACGTGGATATTAGTGAGAAAATACATCTTGTGTTTGCATCCCATTATGGCCCCAACCAGCTTCTCCAGACTAGATGAGTCCCGGAGGTCCCGGCAAAGCTGTCCTGCTAGATCCAGCAGCTTGGCAGGCGGGGGATCCTTGTTTTTATTCCTGTTTAACATGGCCATGAACCGCTTCATCTTACGTCCTGTTGGAAGCCTTTTCTATGCAATGCACAAACTGCACAAACTTATGGTTAGATAAAAACTATTACCTCCTATTTATAGCTCCTATGGTATGCCTTTTAAAAAAGAAAAAAAAAATATTTAAAAAAGGGAAAGCAATTCACTGTGCTGTTAAAAGCAGCCTGAGGATCTCAAAACACTTAAAATAAAACTAGACCCAAAGCAGCCCTGAGAGGCGAAAGCCACAGCAGGTTTGTAGTTAAGAAAACAAAGCTCAGAAAGGCAGTACAATTGCCCCAAAACCTGGAAGCTAAAGGAGGCCAAAGCAGGAGGGCTGCTGTGGGGAACTGCACATTGGGCTGGTCCCAGCATTACCCACTTCGGTCTGTGCGCTGCTGGG